TGCACCAGTCCAGAGGGCAGCACTACTTAGAGCAACCGGATGCCTCAACTCAACTAGCACTGACTCATTAGAAGTACTGGCTGGTGTACTACCGCTTGATATTTTACTAAGAAGCAGGCAGGCTCAAGAGGGTGTGAGAATAGCTACCCACACTGAGTCAGACCCCATTGCCAGGGAATTTTTGAGATGGGGTGGGTCATCTCAAACTGAGAAGACCCCCTCCTGCTTTAATATCATAACAGCCAGACTGAGACTTCATAGATGCCCCACACAACCTAACAATTATATACAGCACTATTACCATCACCAGGATGTAGACATCTTCCAACCTACGAAGGCAACCATCCATGACGAAGATTTTGCCAACACAAAGTCCGCCCAAAGTGTTCGGATAAGCTCAGTGCTTAGTGCACAGCCGGACGGTAGGACTATAGTCTTCACAGACGGGTCAGCCTATGGGAATCCTGGTCCTTCGGGAGCTGCTGCAGTGGTTTATGTGGGTGGACTTAAATCTACACCTATATGTCTTGAGCAACCAGTCTCCCTCATAGGTAACAACTATTATGGGGAAGTGGTAGCAATAAAGATGGCGGTAGAATATCTGACAACCATAAAGACTAGCAGCAACATCCTGCTCTTGTCAGACTGCCAACCCGCTATAACAGCATCTTTTATTACTACCAAGTGTAAAAGCATCACAGAGGACATTATTGACACAAGGAAAGCCTGCAAATTGCTATCTTTACAGAACAAAACCTTAGAAGTCTACTGGGTCCCAGGTCACCAAGGGACAGAAGGGAATGAAGTTGCGGATAAAACTGCCAAGAAAGCAGCATTGGCAGCCAAATCTCTCACTGACTGTAAAACATCTAAGTCTGTAGCTTATAATAATATCAAATGTAACGCTTTAGAGAAATGGCAAAATAGGTATAACAACTCCACCAAGGTGAACTTTGTTCAGGAATTAATTCCTAAGGTTAAATTGAAAAGTCCAATTGTAAAGACAGGAACTAGGTATTATAGAAATAATTGCTTAGGTAAAGTGTTTAACACTATCCTTAATAATAGAATTAAATCATTTCTACTCAAAAATAATATATCTAGTAAGTATCAAATTGGCTTCAAGGAAAAAGCGCGTACATCAGATCACATGTTTGTGTTTCGAACATTAATCGATAAACATTTATCAAACAACTCTAAAGAGCATCTCTATGCTTGTTTCATTGATTTTCAAAAAGCGTTTGACTCGATTTGGCACAGGGGACTAATATTCAAGCTTTTAAACTCAGGAATTCGTGGTAAAACATTAAAAATCATTGAAAACATGTATGATAATAATAAATTTTGCATCAAAAACAATGACCTCGGGAAGAGAACTGTATTCAAAGTAGCAAATATTGGTGTAAAACAAGGTGATCCATTGTCCCCCTGTCTTTTCAATTTATTCCTAAATGACTTACCCGATACTATTGGCTATAAAAATGACTGTCCATCTATTGGAAAAGAAATTATTAACATGCTTATGTACGCTGATGATATTGTTTTATTCTCGACTTCTAAACATGGATTACAAAGGTCTTTAGATTCCTTAAAAGAATATTGTGACAGGTGGAAACTTAATATCAACATAAATAAGACCAAGATAATTAAATTCCAAAAAAACGGGCATCTCTGCACTGACTATTTCTCATACGGTAGACTCCAAGTTCAATGTGTACAAGAATACAAGTACCTTGGTGTGATATTTCGAGCATCAGGCAGCTTTATATCAGCTCAAACACACCTACATGAAAAAGCTAGTAAGGCAATTTTTAAACTTAAAAGATGCCTTCAACAGAGTGATATAAAACCACAGCTTGGGCTTAAACTGTTTGATCAAATGATAAAACCAATTTGTCTATATGGGGCTGAAATATGGGCCCCTTTCAGTCTTAACAAAGTATCCAGTTCAAACCTAGAAGAAGCATACTTAAACCAAAACAAATTCCCCTCAGAAAAATTAAACATATCCTTTTCCAAATTCCTACTTGGAGTTGGTAGAAAGGCCACTAATATGGCTGTTTATGGGGAACTTGGAAGATATCCACTATTTATAGGTATATTTGGCCAAATTCTCAACTTTTTACATCACATTAAAGATACAAAAAATGTTCTAATCAAGGCAGCTTTTGACTGCTCCAAAGAACTACAAGAAAACTCATGGGTTTCAAACGTAAACAAAATAATTTGCTCTATTAATGAAAATTGCTCTGAATCTGTGGATTCTACAATTGATACCTTAAGATGTACATCATTACTTAAACTAAAATTTGACAGGTACTGGAAGAATAAATTAAACACTGACACTAGGAAAAATGATAACGGCAATAAACTACGAACCTACAGAACCCTCAAGAAAGATTTTAAATATGAACATTATTTAAATATAATCGACAGACTTGATATGCGAAGAAACTTTACACGTTTGAGAATAAGTGCTCACAACCTCCAAATTGAGCAAGGGAGATATACAAAACCAAAGAAAACCCCAATTGAAGAAAGACTGTGTGTCCATTGCAATATTATTGATGATGAAGAACATTTTATGATGAAGTGTAAAAAATATCAAAATGAAAGATTATTACTTCAAACTGAATTATCTGATACGGCAAAAGCACAAACAAGAATCAATTTATATACCTCTTAACTTGTATAAATCAAGATTGCATCAAGGTTGCAAAATATATAAGTGATGCCTTCCGAATTTTAGAAAGCAATACTTAATTTAGAAAGGCTAATTCCTGCTGCGCAAAAAAGCATTTTGTAGTAATACATATTTTACATTTTACAGTATTAAGCATATATTATATGTAGTATATAGTAGTCTAGTGTTAAATCATATATATTCTTTTTGTGTACTGCACTTTCTTGTACCTGACCCTCAGGGGTGTGAATGTACTCAATAAATATTCTATTCTATGTAACCAAATTATTTCTGCTGGGCACACCCGTTTACATGGCCATTACCATAGAATTAACCCCGATATTTTATCTCCCAACTGCAGGCCTGTCAACTGTCCCGCAATTTGCGTATTTGTCACGCATTTGCTGAAGAATTTGAAGTCACGCCAGTTTTTTTTGCGTGACAGAAAATGTCACGCAAAATACGCATTTTACCTGGTAATTGTCAAGCAAAAATATTTCTGTAGAAATTTTTTCGAAATATGTTTACGATACGGTAAAAATACGAACGCCGGAAAAAACCGAACGCAATTTGTTCGGATTTGTCACGCGAATCCCGTATGTGTCACGCATGTTCATTGGAAATTTTTCGTACCTACCCCCCCCCCCCCCCCCCCCCCCCCCCCGTTGACGACAGCGCGAGTGTTGCGAGCGCGAAAAATTTGAGGTGTTCAAAGTTTGGCAAAGGTGCTCAAACTTTGGCCAAAGGTGTTTAAAAGTTGGCCAAAGGTGTTCAAAATTTGGACAAAAGTGTTCAGATTTGGACTTAGGTGTCCAACATTTTGAAGTCACTCATATTAGGTGGTCCCAAGTTGACAGCCCTGCAACTGCAGGCCTGTCAACTGTCCCGCAATTTGCGTATTTGTCACGCATTTGCTGAAGAATTTGAAGTCACGCCAGTTTTTTTTGCGTGACAGAAAATGTCACGCAAACTACGCATTTTACCTGGTAATTGTCAAGCAAAAATATTTCTGTAGAAATTTTTTCGAAATATGTTTACGATACGGTAAAAATACGAACGCCGGAAAAAAACCGAACGCAATTTGTTCGGATTTGTCACGCGAATCCCGTATGTGTCACGCATGTTCATTGGAAATTTTTCGTACCTACCCCCCCCCCCCCCCCCCCCCCCCCCCCCCCCCCCCCCCCCCCCCCCCCCGTTGACGACATCGCGAGCGTAGCGAGCGCGAAAAATTTGAGGTGTTCAAAGTTTGGCAAAGGTGCACAAACTTTGGCCAAAGGTGTTTAAAAGTTGGCCAAAGGTGTTCAAAATTTGGACAAAAGTGTTCAGATTTGGACTTAGGTGTCCAACATTTTGAAGTCACTCATATTAGGTGGTCCCAAGTTGACAGCCCTGCAACTGTGACCACTGTAACATACCAGAGACAGTTGAACATTACATCTTTGCTTGCTCTAAGTTCCAGGAAGAGAGGGAGATTCTATTGGCCAAAGTGCAACAGATACTACTAGGAGCTAAATACAATCCAGCTCTGGACCTACAAACAATCACAGGACTCAACACAAGCCTGGACCATAAGTTAAATAAAGAAATTATGAAATGCCTGCAGGCATTTATACAGAAATCCAAGAGATTTTAATAACTTATTTTTAACTCGAGTGAGATAGTGACTCTATTTAACATCTCATTTTAATGGAAAAACACTTGCATTTTAGACTACGTTAGATAACAAGTTTTAGCGCTCTCTCTCCCAACAGAAGTAAAATAAGCACAATTAAGTGAAAAGTACAAGTGATATTTTTAGTACATGAGTTTTAAAAACAGCAACAAGTGATCAAAGGCAGCATAATAATGCCAAAGTGATCCCGGAACACCTTATAAGGAACACTGAAAAGGACTAAGAAGAAGAAGAAGAAATTTTCAAAGTTGATAAACTCTTTTTAAAACCACATTTTTAGATGCAATTCCACATGCAGATTCCAAATATGACATCAGTTTGACTGAATGTTGAATTTTTAATGACGTAAATTAAGATTATTTCTACTCGCATCTGGGATATTAGATCAGAACATGCCTGCCCCGCAGATCCACCATTGTAATTTGCACAAGTTTTGGGACAACGTATCAGTAGTAAGTATCAGTCATGTGAAAAGTTGAAGTACAATAATTTGAACTTTGAAACTTGAAAAATGAATATTCTGAAAGTGAAATGCTTGTAAACAATTAATATATGATTAACATATTCAATTATTGAGTGAAGATATTTCGTGACTTCAAACACCGAATATTTAGTGACATGTATATCGCCATCTTTATTTAACCGGAAGTGCAGAAAATTGAAAAATGGATCAACCGAGAGAAAAGGAGCAACTGTTAGCGTTAAAAGGTAATATATTTACTTTATACTTCTGCAAATACAAAATAAGATATACAGTTTTCATTTCAGCGATATTTGCGTGTATCAACTTGACGGAAACACTAGCAATGACGTTGAAGAACTTGATCTATAATTTTTCATTTTTAAAATTTTTTCATTCGATTCAATTTACATTCACAGATGCCACCGAGATCGTATTTATAGTTGGCCAGTCTCAATAAATAAAGCTCAAGAATAGACATCGAATGGAAAAAATCACTGGAAAAAATGACAACCCTTCATAACCTCCCTCAAACTCATGGGGAGTAAGTCACCCCTCCCTCTTATATTCTGTCAACTATGTAATGACCAAAGTGAACACCATTGATCTCTATATTGGAAGCAAATGTGAATTGGGTTACTTGTCAGAACCCTCCATTTTTGGAACATTGAGTTTTTGCTGTTTTGCACTGATATTTCTTAGCCTAGATGACGGGAATACACAAATGGTTTAAAAAAAGTAAACGTTTTACCTGAAATGTCAAAATACTGCTGAAATCTTTAGAAATGTGGTGATTTTGACTGTTCAATTTCACCTGTGGACATCTCGCAAATTCTCGTGTAAAATCTCCGGAATTCTGGGGAATCCCCGTTTCGGTGATGCAATCTGGGAGAATAATACAAGATGGCTTTTGCGGCAGATTTGCAAAATCCAGAGGTTGATCTATTTTCTCTTACCAAAAAGTTGCGCTTTGTCTGCTCTTAATCCAACATTTCAACGAGTTCTTACACCAAACATTCTGACATTATTTCAATTTTTTTCTAAACGACCATTTGTCACTTGAGGCAATCTGCGCGAGATTCCATTTTTTGGTTCGGTTTTTGGCGCATGCATATTAAATCCAGCAATTCAATTGGTCAAATATCCCACTGTTTACATTAGAATATCAGATCTCTCCATTTTTGCAATCCGTGTGCGCATGCAGATTTCAGTAAAGTTTCTAAAAACCAATCACAAATTTGATCAAAATTTGCATTTTTCACCCATATATCGAGTCAAATCAGGTATTTATGATACTTTTTAGTCTTCTAGATGTCTCAAGCACATATTCATGCGAAAATTTGTAAGATAGCATTCAATGTTGAAGCGAAATACTGGATTGAATATATACCGGAAATAATTTTCAATTTTTTTAGGTTTTTATTAACCTCACTTGATGCTTTTAATAAGAGAGATCAATAGATGGTGTTCACTGTGGTAATGACCCAAGGGCGCCCCAGGGGAATGACTAACTAACGAGCATTATGTAACAAGCCGGATAAAGAAGTTGAAAGAAAGTGTGCTAAATTCAATGCCCAGTGTGGGAACCAAACCTAGGACCCTTGGATCCAAAGACTGATGCTCTACTTACTGAGCTATAAAGGCTAAGCCACTACAGCTGGGCGGTAGTAGCAACTTCAGATCAAGGGTCGTTACAACTATATTAGTATTAGCCTATTTTGATATAGAGAAAAACTAAGTGATACCTCTCTTTTCTGCAACAGATCTCACAAATCCTGTTTAGCCTATTAGCCCTATTTCTTCATCTTTCTAATTGCAATTTGTTTGGCTCTTTTAACCTGGGTATGAACGCTAAATTTTAACTGTGGGGAATGTAATTTTTGTCTGCTAAATCGAGTACACCAAATATCCCACAAATCTCACTGTTTTTCTGATGTCACAATTCCAAGAAATGGTCAAAACAATGGAAACATCTTCAGATTTGGTGTAGTACAAGGGCCGATCAAAAAGTTTCTTACCGTTGGCTCTCAATTTTATAATAAGAGGAGTTGGAAGCTCAAACTTTAACATGAGACAGGATAGTTAGTTTGCTTGAAACTGTACGAGTTTCATATAAATTGGTTTATTGGTAGTGACACAAAATCAATTCATATTTTCAATGACAAAGTTAGGTGGAGCAGCGTTATATATAAAATATCTGCTGAGTTGTGGTTCTGGAAATTTACCGACATTCTTTCAAACCTCTCATACGAAAGGTCTTAAACATGTGTTTTGGGATCGAGTGGATATAGGAAGTGCATTGCAACTGGGGTTGAATATTTTGAATGAGAATGAATATTAGCAGAAAAACTAATTAAACATGATTAAACTACAGTCTGTTGACAGATGACTCTACTTAGTGTTAGAAATTTCCAAAACTGCAGCTTAGCACAATTTTTTACAAAAAACCCTGCTCCACCTAATTCAATCATTAAAAATATGTATTGACTCTGTGTCACTACCAATGAACCAATTTAAATGAAACTCACACAGTCTCAAGCAAACTTACTACCCTGTCTTATGTAAAAGTTTGAGCATCCAACTCCTCTTATTATAAAATCTAGAGCCAACGGTAAGAAACTTTTTGATCAGCCCTTGTAATGGAGGATGGAATTACCTTATTTTTGACTTTTAAAAACATAAGAATGTTTGAATAACCTTTGTTTGTGCTTATGGAGATACAGAGTAACAAGATGCTTCGAATAAGGTATGAATCGTCAGATACTTAAGTAATAGCTGAACAATCGTGAAATGAAAAATAGAAAAAGACCTTGATGTCTCATCCTGATGTATTATCATATAGGTACTGATACTACTACATATAATCGTGCTGGCATTTATGGATTCATTTAACCTTTTTATTTATAAGTTTCACAGGAAGTTATTTACACAGGTTCTATGTGGTTTCAGTTGCTTACGGTGAACGTTCCAGTTGATTTTTCGGACTACTTTGATCATGAAAAATAAGACTTTAGCCAGAGAATGATACTGTCACTTACCTTCCAGAAGTTTGTAAAACATTCAACCTAACAGCACATTAACATTGTTGCGTCAACCATTTAGCATAAGCACAATATCAAAGAGTTAAAAAATGAAATGTAAAACATACTTACTTCTTCATAAATACCAGAAGTTTTGATATGCTTTGTTTTGAGCATGCATGTTGTACACGTTAGTCATTTTAAACTTTATTTTCATATGTAGATGGCATTGCGATCTTTGGTTGTATTTTAGTCAAATCATACCAATCATTCAGGCATTTAGACACGAATTGTCTGTTTGAGTCTGAATTATGCACAGTGAATTAAATATAGATCAAACTACCCTACCTCGATCGCGCATGCACGAATTTTTGGACTTTCAACCAGGTCACTTTTGAGTATATCGACTGCTTAGTCAAAAGGTAATATGTTTGGTGCTTGGAGTGAGTCAATATTGCTATTCGCTGAACTTCAGTGGTGCAATAGTGAAGTCCATGTTCCAAGTTATATGATAGTTGAAGAAAGAATGTAAATAATATCGTTTTAAATTTTAAAATATTTGATATGTCATAGACATGGATCACAGTTACAAACTATGTCCCATATCTCATGTACATTTACATTGCAAACAGTGAAAATAATGCTAAAAAGGCCACCTGTTGATGCTTTGAGGTGTAATCAATTGTTATTTAATCCAAATAAAGTAAGGCTTATGCCTTATGGGTGTAGGACCTCTGCTCTAGAAGGAATTTTCAATATGGCCACTGAATTCAAAATGGCCGCCATTTTTCGTAAAAAATGTAATCTTTAATAACTCAAATACTATTTTGCGGATTTGGTTCAAATTTTATATGCTGATGCCTAGGGACAAAGGAGTTTCGCAAAAAAAGAGATTTTCAAGATGGCCACTTAATTTCAAAATGGCGGCCGTTTTTCGTAAAAATATGTAATCCTTGATAACTCAAATACCAGTGAACGGATTTAGTTCAAATTTTATATGATGATGCTTAGGGACACAGTAGCTATGTTCAACAAAACATTTTCAAGATGGCCACTTAATTTCAAAATGGCGGCCATTTTTCATAAAAATCGTAATCTTTGATAACTCAAATACCAGTGAACAGATTTGGTTGAAATTTTATATGCTTATGCCTAGGGACACAGTAGCTCTGTTCAAGAAATAATTTTTAAGATGGCAGCTGAATTTTAAGATGGCGGCCCATATTCGTAAAAAACGTAATCTTTGATAACTCATATACCAGTGAACGGATTTGGTTCAAATTTAAAATGATGATTCCTAGTTCACAATGGTATAAACTAACTTTGTGCCAAATTTCATGCTTCTATCACAAAGTGCACAAACATTTCAACATTTACACTAGCTATAATAAGCATAATATGTTTTGTTCGGTGGGATTTGCTACTCCGTGGAGTTGCTGTTTTTCTAGTTAAAATTGCCTGAACTACATGTGAAGAATCTTTCTATATAACCCCTTGAATGGTCTAATTCACTACCATCCTCAAAAACCGATCATTTAAAATGTTTTGTTCAAAATACTATCATGCCACGACTTGAGAGCATTTTGTTCTTCACGATTTGCTGTAGCGCTGATATGACGTCGTATATCTCTATTATTGTAAAAAATCAATACCAGATCGATATAGTCTTATATGACGTGTTGAATGTCAGATGTTTTTGGATGGTATCTGCTCCAGTGTTTTGCATTTAATCATGAAACGCTCATCACAAGACACCTCGAAACAAACATTATCCTCTTTGTGACAAGAGGAAAAATGTTTGAATTTGAATTTGAATTTTTGACCTACCAGGTGTTTGAAAATCAAGGACTGCGAGTCTTATACTGCACCATTTTTTTCAAACTTGTTCCATTCAAAGCAAAACAAAATTGCCTTTCTGTTGGTACATTGCTTTATTGTAAAGAGTCCCTCGTTTTAGCAGCGTTTGGTCCCCAGTTGTGATAAGCCCTTCTCACAGCTGGGGACCCAAATGCCGCTAATATTAGGGACTAATAATAATAAACCAACAGAAAGGCATGTATAGATGTCACTGGTGTATAAATAGAATAAGCAGCGTATGAAATAAAATGAAGGATCTAAAGCTATGTCTTCATTTAGCAATAAGCTTCATTTGTATGTGTTGTAGAATTCACCAAAATTGACTCTTCTTTTACTCTTCATAATTATCCCATCGAACGAAGTTCGGAGGG